CGGAAAGAATTTTTACGGAAAATTAACAAACGAACACAGAGGCGTAACAATATAGTGAATCCCAAGGTTCAGTTGTACATTTAATTAACACGTTGGTTGGTAAAACATTTGATAGACATTGAATTAAACTTACCCAGTTGAATTAACACATCAGACAAAAACACATTGCATATGCATAACTATTTATCAATTAATAAAAACTGCTTATTTCGTGTCACAGATACAAAACATCTGGACGAAAAGGGACTATTTGGTTTTTCAAGGCTGACCCTGAACAATCATCCTCAACAAAGAGAAGAGTAATGCTGTATATTTCAGAAAATCATCAATCCCCCCCATGTTTTAAACTCTTTCAAGTTGCTGGTCTTATCTTCTGTCAACAAGAACACATACCATAAGCTATCTTGTTCTAAAAACAAAAATACGCTAACAGGTGCCTAGCCTCTATTTTCCAAATCACAAACTTGTGTTCTCTACTATTGTCAGTATAAAAAAATCTTTATCCTGCCAATCTCCTTGATAATCTTGTAAACTTTCACCCCCGTTTTCATTCTAGTAATTTTCCTTTTATCTCTTTCCAATAAATCACTATTCTTTCTTAGATAGAGATAACAACTGTACAATGTATTCTAAGTGAAGCCTAACTGGTGACTCGTATAATGAGATGATTAACTGTTTCGATTTTTAATAAATCTGTTGATAATTATTGTTAGATGTAATATTAGTATCAGAAAACTGCCTCAATTATTTGAATATTTAGTGATCTGGTTACTAAGTTATACGTTTTCTCAAAACTCCATTTTTCTATGTTTTGGTAAGCATTTCTTAAAATATATATTTGGTCGTCAAGAATTTAATATCGCCTTTTTTTAGATGAAAAAACCCGAACAACTTATATATCAAAACAAAATATTTATTAAATGAAAGAGTCTCCATTCTTATCGATGATGCTTTTCCATCTTTCAATCAGGGTGTTAATGCCCTGATTAAAGAAATCACTTGGCTTTGAAGCAAAAAACATGTCGATGTCCTCTTTAATACCTTCCACATTTGCATACGTCTTCCCATTAAGATGGTGTTGCAGCGAACGAAAAATATGGCAATCTGATGGTGCCATATCTGGAGAATATGGTGAGTGGGTGAGAACTTCCCAACCCCATAATCTTGTGTTGTGTCAAACGTGCCACATGTAGACGTGCATTGTCGTGGAGAAGAATATCTTTCCAATTGACGAGTGAATGGCGTTTCTGATGAAGGGC